TTTTTTTTTTTTTTTAGGTACGCGGGCCTCTCACTGTTGCGGCCTCTCCCGTTGCGGAGCACAGGCTCCAGACGCGCAGGCTTAGAGGCCATGGCTCACGGGCCCAGCCGCTCCGCGGCATGTGGGATCTTCCTGGACCGGGGCACGAACCCGCGTCCCCTGCATCGGCAGGCGGACTCTCAACCACTGCGCCACCAGGGACAGCCCTGTCCTGGATCTTTGGCAGGAGTCAGCTGACATTATGTCAGGGACTAATTTCACAAGCATCAAGAGAGAAACCAGTATGACTCTGAATTCAAAATTTATCAGGGCTCATGCTGGTTGCACAGAAACACCACTGGCTGCACAAGTAAAGGAAAGACGGCTGAAGTGGGACTCAAACCAGCACTGGGACCTTCAGAGGTTGAACTGAATGGCCCCTGAGAAGTGCTGATGGGCACTGGTGGGGGAAGATGACCAAAAGAGAGAGGTAGATCTGTGCAGGAGGACAGAGTGATAGGGGGCCCTGCCAGAATGTCTGGGAAGGCACTGCTCAACCCTCTCCAGGTCATACACATTTCCAGAAGACGCCATAACAGAAGTTAGAAATGCTGCTCTTATAATTTCATCCAAGTCCAGCTCTGCCTGTCACACTCCTACAAGGTATGGATGGCACCAAGATCGTTAATTCAGACCGAGTGATAAACGCAGAGCTCAGGGGATGATGAAGGTCACACAGTCTATTAGTGAAACGACTGGGAATAAACTCAGATGGGTGCTCTCGGTAGCCTGTGCCCCATCTTTATCAGTCTAGTTTTCTACTCCATATCACTAAATATGGCAGATATCTGCTCTACATACAGTAATGGCTCAACATAAGGATATAAAAATAGAACTTCATTACCAAAGCTGCAGAAGAGATCTAGATATAACGGATTAATTTAATTTACTGCTGTGCTAATCAACCCTGTGGGTGTTTTAGGTTCAGATAGGAGACGTAAGCTGAAAAACTTAAAGAAGGATACCCAAGGCAGAGAGAAGCACAGTTAAAAGACATTCCTAAGAGATCTCACTAGGCAGGGATTGCTGACTAATACCTGTTAGGTTAGATAATATCTGTACTCTCTGAGAGAGAAAAGTTGTTTATGGTCTAAGCCTGGGCTCCTCTCAGGAACTTGTTTCCTCAGTAGCCCAATGTAAAAGTTCCTGTTTCTCCTACCTAATAGTCACACTAAGGAATAAAAGCAGGACAAAACCATAGACACTCCTGGATGCAACGTAATTTTATCTAGTCCTAGTCCTGTATGTACAGTTCCCTCTTAAGCCTGAATTTGGCCTGAAAGAATTACAGTTCTCAACACTTACAACCACATTCTTTGCAGAGGTAACACACATCACCACAGTCCCCGCCACACTTGAAAAGCAACCAATAGAGTTGTTAATCAGCTCAAGGGTCATTCCAACAGGGAATTTTACAGAGTTATAATGAAACGAAGCAAATATTAGCTTTCCCTTAACCTGGCTTTCAGATTAATTCAGGATTTGGGCTTGCTCTTAGCCACCCACTGACTTATCAATCCAAATCAACATCTGTAGCCTAGAGAATGAAACATTGCCAGCAAAACATCTCATGAGAGGGCAAATGGGAAAGGAAACAGCTATTTTCGTTTTTTTGGAAAGGGCAAGATTTTATTTCATTTTATTTTAATATAGTTGATTTACAATGTTGTGTTAATTTCTGCTAAAAGTGATTCCTAGGCAGGGATTGCTGACTAATACCTGTTAGGTTAGATAATATCTGTACTCTCTGAGAGAGAAAAGTTGTTTATGGTCTAAGCCTGGGCTCCTCTCAGGAACTTGTTTCCTCAGTAGCCCAATGTAAAAGTTCCTGTTTCTCCTACCTAATAGTCACACTAAGGAATAAAAGCAGGACAAAACCATAGACACTCCTGGATGCAACGTAATTTTATCTAGTCCTAGTCCTGTATGTACAGTTCCCTCTTAAGCCTGAATTTGGCCTGAAAGAATTACAGTTCTCAACACTTACAACCACATTCTTTGCAGAGGTAACACACATCACCACAGTCCCCGCCACACTTGAAAAGCAACCAATAGAGTTGTTAATCAGCTC